CAGACGGCACACAAACACGAACACATAATGAATTGAGTGCTGTGCCTGCCTGTGATGAGGAGATTGTGAATAAAAAATGAATATTAGTCGAAATTAAAATAAACATTTGCATTTGAATGTTAGAAGTGCGTCAGGGAGCGTCATCAGGGGCGCGCGAGATGCAGTGATGTAAGTGACGTTGTTGCATTTGAATGTTTTGTTAGTCTAGCCCACGAGATGCGCCGCTGCTGTGTTATGCATTCAAAATATTAGAGAAATATAGAAGCTCAATGCGGAGAAGATCTTGATTAGGTGAAAACTGAAACCAAGCCATTCACACAGATGCATATTCAGCACATTTTTAGACGGACAAATATGACTGCTGCACTCACTAGGGTTGGATACCGAAACCCGGTGCCAATATGGAAAGCAGATTTCGGTACCTCATTTCGGTGCCACTTAAATGCTTGAGCGATCGATTGAAATATTTGTTCTCCGAAACGGACGTAAGAATCACCGGCACCGCACGTGAAAAATAATTTCACGAAAGCAAGTCGGAAAGGGAAATGAGAGCATCCGAGGAGCACATGAATGCAGTAATTACACTTGCTCTGTTGGCAGCAGGTAGATACCGCTAGCTAGGGTGACCATACGTCCTCTTTTCCCTGCACATGTCCTCTTTTTGGACCTACAAAAATGTGTCTGGCCGGGATTTCTTAATTGCCCAAAATGTCCGGGATTCGGCTGTTTTCTTAATCCCACTGCCGCTGAATCTCTGACCATTGCCGGCTGCTCCCGCGATTTTTGTGTCCAATCCTTTAAACATTCTAATATTGTGTATAATTTTTGCGCATCAGGGAGCCGCTCTCAGGATGTGGTGTATTTAAATATTTTTGAATGAGCTTTTGCGCTGTTTATTTTCACTCTGTGTAAAGGTTTGAAATATTGCATAAATTACATTTGACTGAAATGCTTGTATTGAAACATTTTGCATTCTACCTATGATAAAACTTTCATGGTCTTCTACATTAACTGTTCTCTCCTGGTGGAATGACCTGCCCAACTCAATCCAAGCAGCTGAGTACTTAATATTTTCAAGAAACAGCTGAAAACGCATCTCTTTCATCTACATTTGATCCTCTAACTCTAGCACTCTTTATTATATTGCTAATTCAATTTTATCTTCTATTATTTTTTTAACTTGACCCTCTAACATTTGCACTCTATTCTATTTCTATTCTAACTACTTGTTTTATTTATAAAGAAAGAAAAGCCTCTTAACACTAGCATTCTCTATTCTTTCTACTTATTTTCATTTTATTTATTATAAATAATGACCTTCTAACACTTGCATTATCTATTCTTTCTACTTGTTTTCTTTTTATTTATTATAAAAAAAAAACAGGCTACTTATACTGTTAGGCGGAGCCCTACCCACGAACCCACCCCCTACTGTCCTCTTTTTGAAAAACTAAAATATGGTCACCCTATTAAAGCTAAACTTCACTTGTAATGACTTGCAATGAGAAGCATTTCTAAACCTGCTGTCCAACAAAAGAGAACACTATAAAGTTTTTACTCCACAACTGCTTCCTTTTGTGATCTGATGTGGCTTCTTGTCACAGAATGAGGCAGAAAATATGTTCTATACTGTAAAAAACATATGGTAAAAAGACTGTTGATTAGCAATGGATTATAAATATACTTAATTATGATGAAAATACCAAAGATGGCTTGAATAACACAGATAAACTATACATTGTCGCAGTCGAGCGTTTATTGTCTTTGTTTTATCATTCAAAATGTTTATATCTTCTGTTTACTCAGTTACAGTGATAGCAATGCCTTTATCCATATTAGCAAAGAGTATCCACCTTTTTCTTCAACGCGGAAGTAAGCCTATGGGTGAGACTTCCGGTTCATTAGCCGCTATAGGTAAATAACGAGGAGAATAACAACGTGCAGTAAACCGTAAAACTGTTTGCACTACAAACCAGTGTGTTCATAATTTCAGATAATACATTAAAATAATATAAGACACACCAACTTTCAATATCAAGCAGCAAAAGGAACTGTTTTGTTCAGCTAAAAATAGCTGGACGGAGTGGACGCAGATGAAACCGGAAGCCAGACCCATATATTTTCCAAATGGCTGCGCCCATTTTTACGACAAGAAAAAGGTGGATAGGGATTTCCTGAGTCCTATTACTTCTGTGATGCACTTGTGGAGTTTCTGCACGAGGGCGCCCTCTGGCGTCCAGTACGAATGAAACGGACATTAAATGTGTTTATAGCGCTCAATAATGGCCAATCCATCCTATTTTGGGTATTTAAAAAAAAAAAAATTTAAGTATCGGTTCAGGCACCGGTACCGTTTTAAAAGTATCGATTTGGCACCGGTATCGTAAAAAACCCAAACGATACCCAAACCTAGCACTCGCGTCTCACACAAGAGATGTAGCCATGCAAAGTTAAAACAGTTTAAGCTTTTAGAAAACACGTCGCGAATTTGTGGAGGTTGATTCCTTTTCACTGCATCTCTTATGTTTTTAAAAGCAATCTGCGTGATGGGCAATTCGGCTCTTTGTATTAATCAATGCATAAATACATGCTGTTTTGTTCATAATTGTTTATGCAATTTACGAAATTATATTTGATTTATATGAGTTAATTTAGACGTAATGCAGGTTTTTTATAGACATTTATTTCCTTGCGTTGACAATTTAAATGTGCTGCATTATTTTGCTCATTGTGCCCTCCTGTGACCTCGGGAGACAAGACAAAAGTTTCCTTCAGACCAATTTAATCTGCATATAAAGCATTAGAATTTAGATATTTGTTTAATTTTTATTGTGTGTTTGACTGTTATATCGTTGATACATTTTTTAGCTATATCGCCCAGCCCTGGTAATACCAGTGTAACACAGTCTGTTCAGCTTTGTACTTGAGAGAAACAAATTCTTTGCACTATGTCCCTCTCTCTCTTGCTGTCATAGATACATGTACAACATTTTATTCACAAACAGAATGACTCAGATTATTGAAATATACTGAGCAACAATGCGAAATGCCCTTCAACCCAGAGCAGGGGATAAAGGTGGAGGCGTTTTGACTTTTGACTATCAAAAGTTCAAAAATTTCCATAGACAAAGATGAAATCCAGGTGTGACCATTCAAAGAATTTTTTGTGCGTATTTGTGTTCTGGTTTGTTTAGGAGTATTGCGTAATGCTCAACTTGTCAGATGGAGAATGGAGAGTGAGGTTTGTTAAGGGCATGGCAGGGGCTGAGGATGCTTTTATCAGTGTTTTTAGTGAACTGCATTTTTCCTCCTTTTTGTGTGCTTAGTTTTTCTTAACACATTTGTTCATACCACATACGTAAGCTCCTACTCTAGAACTGTTTAAAAGGTAAAGAGAGGTTGATGGGGCAGAGTGCGGTTTCAACTCCGTGGAGGCTCTGCTAGAGTGAACATGGCCTTGTGCCTCTCAGTGGACTGCAGATGATCAGTCTCGATCATCTAATGGTGAGCGCTGAGAGAGCAGTTTGTTCTGTGTCTGTATGGCCTTGAACCTGCGCTTGGCCCAATTCTGTCAGCAGGAGAACCCGGCAGAGCTTGTAATTGAGACCCAGATAGGGGGGCCCGGGAGACACGAAAACAATTAAAGCTTGATTTAATTATTTATTTTCGATTTATGTCGCTGGCTGAGTGAGATGATAAATGGCTTATCTTGCTTTTGATATCACACTTCTTAGTAACCGATTTACATGTAACCGAAAACATGATGGAATTGTAGAGAAAAACTGTCAATCAAATTGCACATCTTAGTGATAATAGATTCAAGTCATATTACTGATAATGGTTGAGGACAATGAGAGATTTAACTATTATTAGATCTCTGAAAATGTTAAAGGTTCTTTCAACTAGGGTTGGGTAGCGTTTGGGTTTTTTTCGATACCGCAGCATTGTACAATGTACTTCAAAGTTATAATAACAACAATAATATTCTTTATAATAAAATAATTTATTTAAACATTGTTTTCAAGGAATATCATGTTTGTCCATGTTTTAACTTTGCCAAAAATAAAAGGAGTAGTAAATGTTAATTTAAAACATTTAAAAACATTAATTAAAATGTTAAAGTAAGATATAGATATACATAAGATGTACACCATTCTTTTTTTATTGTTATTTATTTTTTTAGAAGGGAGACTTCAATACTTTCATTAAAATGGTTTCAAGTTTGTTGTAATAAAGGATTTGTTCACTCAAATAACTTGTTCTTGTTCTTTTAAGAGTCATTGTTACTGATCAGAATTATTGTTTAATATATACCGTGATAACCGCGAAGCCGTGATCTTTTCTGAGACGATTATCTTACTGTGAAAATCTCATACCGTTACAACCCTATCTGATACTATACAATTGCTTTGTGTGAGGAACTAAGTTTAAGGCATTCATTTAATATTCTCCAATTCTCCAACAAGTCCAATTTGCATTTGTTTTCAAACTGAAAATTTAGCTTTGCCATCACAGGAATAAATTATATTTTAAAATGTATAACGTAGAAAGCAGATATATAATATAATAATATTACAGATATATAACATTGCAATAATATTTCACAATGTTACTGTCTTTACTGTATTTTTGATCAAATATTACAGCCTTGGTGAACATAAGAGACTTTCAGAAACATCTTACCAACTTTAAACTTTTGAACGGTAGTGTACAGCAGTAACGATACAGTTTTTCCCAGGTTAGACAGGTAAACGCTGTAATAATATTTTTTAGCCAGTGACAGCAGACTGATTCAGTTTCTGAGTATGGACGCAATTTATACATTATTTGTACAGTACAAAACTTAACCGTGGCACAATACTAATTTCGTAAATTGACCCGGATAGCTCAGAATAGCACTCATTCATTAGTATAAAGAGTCTGTTCAGAGAGAGGTGACAACGTGGGATTGGCTCATCCAGGTTTAAGCTGTTGCCACTCTTAATTATGGGAATCCGCTCAGGGTCAGACACGCTAGATCTTCGATAAGATACTTTCTTTTGTCTTTACGCTGGAGTGATAGTGCAGGAAGAATACGGTGTAACACTTCAAGATGCTAAACTGATGTATGGGGCACTGTAAGATTCATGCTGGATCTGATGCGTAACATGATACAGACTACAAAAGGTAGCCCCAATTTTCTATTTCTCTGTAGCTTTCTTCTGTCTTTTTCTCTCTGTCGTCTTTCAAGAAGGGCATCACTCTGAATGATACCCGCCAATGACATCCATCCTGAGAGTAACTCAGCTCATTCTCATTCTCAGCCTATAGCCTATTGTCTGTCTGGTATGTTTTGCGGCCGTGTCCTGAAATCTAGTCACAGCAGGATTTTGTTTATATTTGCATGTTGTGCCTAAAAATTTAAAGAACTATCTGGAATGATTTGTTCTTTCCATTGTAACCTAGTTTGTTTAAAGCATAGCATTCTAATATAAAGTCTCTGAGCATTTAACCTTGGGTAATTCTGAATGACCCAAGAATATATCTACATTTCATTAACTCATTAACATTTAATTTACCAGTAACAAGTTACAGTAAACATAAACCATTGGCCAAAACTTCCTAAAATTGGAAAACAAACTGACAGTCTGAAAGTAGTTCCTGGCCACTATTAAAATTATTACTTTTGCTTATACTTTAGAAGAGCTTTGCTACTTTCTAAAAATCCCATAGACTCACACTACCTTTAAAAAAAGTTTAGGGTCAGTAAGATGCTTACATGTTTTTTTTAAAGAAGTGTCTTATGCTCACGATAGAATATATTTGAATATTGAAAAGTATTCATAAAAAATCGTATTGACCCCGCACATTTGAACTGTACATTGAATTGGTCTGTCTTTTGACTTGAGTCAGCAAGTAACCACCCAGAACACCTTAGCAACCACCTGCGACAAGAAGGATCTCTCACATTTTCTTAAGAAAATTTGAAAATGTAGTTTATTTAGCCTATGTTTTTCATCTCTGTATGCTTGTTTATAGGTTTGATTGGCAGATGGTGTTGAAAAAAATCATTGAAAGATTTATTGCTAGCTGACCAGATCAATATCCAGCAAAGCAATTGGGATAGGATATTGCATGGATTTTCATCTTGTGCTCTTTGAGACTTAACCTGATGTTCATGACCATCTAGAGTTTAATGTCATTCTGTTCCCTAATGCTTTCCAATCCATCTGCTGGGCTCCATTATTACTTTTGGACGATCTTCTTCCAGTCAGACTGAGGCACAGCCGTGGATTGCGCTAATACATTTTTTGTAGCTGAAAGTAAGTCTATGCAAATTGAGAAGGTGTCAGATGATTTTACAGGAGCTACTTTGCCTAGATGTGTTTGTTGTTTCCCTGTACAGCATTGAATGGGTCAAAGTTCCTTCTGGGTCTGTAATCCTTTTGTACAATTGCACTCATGTTTTGTTTTTATGAGGAGAGATTAGTAATCTTTGATTGGGATTACCTCCAAAGTTGGAACCTTTTTAAATTGCATGGGTTATTAAATTTAGCCAGGATGCTAACATCCTCCTCTGTTGATGTTTTGTTTTAATCTGTTTAAAATAAGTTTATTTTTTATCTTTTCTTTTTTCAGCTTTCCGAGTGTCAACCCCACTGTGAAAATGAGACCATG